GGCAGCAGCTGCGCGAGCTGGAGGCGCGCGGCGGCGACTCGCTGGCGGTGTACGGCGCGCACATGGTGGAGCTGTGCCAGCGCGTGCGCCGCGCCGCTGACGCAGGACACTTCAGCGCGCCGCCGCGCGGACCTGTCGGTATGTATACCTCTAATTACAACTAATAAAAAAAAAACAAAATCGATTACCCTATGTGTTCTTCCAGACTATCCTCTATGTCTATGCCAAATTTCATCGAGTTCCGTCCATCCTTTTAGGCTACAAACTTAAACAAATATCCATCCATATAAACTTTCGCATTTATAATATTAGTATGATAGCTTACGACTACGTTGCCGTGGTATTAAATAAACAAAAGCAGTTTTCGTATGTGTTTCTTCCAGACTATGTTTTACATTTGTGTTAATTTTAATTTTTATCCGTCCTTCTTTCATATTTGTAATATTATTTTTATATTACATTATTTTCTACAGGGCATTATCTGAAGTTGAAGGAAAAGAAATGGGGAGGCGCGATCGAACATATCATCGGTGGTTCTATAAAGAATTTTTGCGTCAATAACGTCGAAGATTCTAGAAAATTGTTCGACATTATGAAGCAGGTATGAATATATGAAATATGAATATTATGAAAATTGTAACTTTACACAAGCGTGAATCTGCAACCTAATAATATACTTAAATGTTCGTGACTATAAAGTGAAATTAATAAAATTGTAAAAAAATTGCCCATGTTATTCAGTGATGTAATTTTTTGCAAGTCAGCCCTGTAGTTTTTGAGTTATTTCAATACAAACGAAAATGCAAAAATCCAAATGTTTCCTCTGTCTAATGGTTTGGGGCACCACCGATCTTGCAGTCGTAGCTTCGAATCCCGGCATTCGACTATTGTGAACCATATCTTAGCACAAGTTTGCAGCTTAGTTGAAATGATTAAAGGAAATATTAGTAAATCAACAAGTCTACTAATATTTTTAAATAAAAAAATGTATATAGGTGTACGGCAGCAGC